CAGGCACTTTTGAAGATTTGGAAAATATATTGAAAGGCTACATATTTGAAGCTAACATCTTTTCATTTACGCATGTAAAACCAGTGCTACCCTTTTATCTAATTTCCTGCCCCTTTTACTAGCGATTCAGTTACAACTCCTTTCTGTTAGGAACTGGCAGTTCAGTAGTTCAGCAGTTCAGTAGACCAAAAAGTAATGTAATATTTTGCAAGTTTTGTTGGAAAAGCAATATAGTAGTGCTGTTACTAATGAAGAACATACTCATACTACAACTGGACTTTAAGAAATTAATGAAAAATAAAAAGTCCCTGTCTGCCAACTGTTGCACTTGTACAATCCTTAGTGATTAGGTGTATGTGTTCACCTAAAGATACAACTGAGTCCTGTCATGGGGCTGAATCTACTAAAAAGCACCACATTTCTTCAAATTCACTTACGGGAATAATTTAGACTCACAGATTTCAATCATGCTCTGCATAAGAGGTCCAGCATACTTTCTTAGTTTGGGGACAACAGAATTAGAGATGGGTCCACCTTAGAGCCCCAGTCAAAATGCATCTTCCTTTTAGAGAGGTTCAAAACACAAATCTGATCCCAAATATTAGATTCTCCCTCATATAAACAGAGCTTCCAACTCTCATTTCTTGCTTCAGAAGAGAAGGGGATAATTCTTTACAACATTGCAATTCTTACTTGTATAACTCAATTTAAACTTAATAGAGAAAAAAGTTATTGACACAGTTATTAAATCATCATTTGATGATCACTGAAATTCATTGGAATCTTTCTTTAATCTTGCGTATTTAAAAGCCCTTGGTTTTTATTTGTTGTGTTTCAGGACACCTGACTTGACTGCAGTGACTGTGATCACAACTTCACCTGCCAGGTAAAAATAAATTCTGCTTTTGCAACAATTTTGTGGATAGTTTCCCTTGACTCTCTCATAACTTCATCTTGAAGCTCTTTTTTTTCATACCCACTATATTACTTAATGCCTGCATTTTTTATTGTTGTGGTTTTCTACTTTTTTTTTTTCACTTTTTTCATCGACTTTATTCTTTTGCTGTTCTTCATTTTTGCTTAGTCTAACACTTATTGTAGTTTATTTTTAGGATACATATATATTTGAGGTAGAATTCTAATCTGAACATTTACATAATGAGTTCATGTTTTTATTGGAAAAATATATAATTGACGACTGTTCTTACTCTTCTGAGAAATGCCAATAACAAATGGTAGGCTCCAGTTCAATGAATCCTTTGCTGTTTTAACAAAACAAAACACCGAAAGCAAGCAAAGAAAGTACAATAGGATAATTTTTTACAGTTTATCCTGGGGTCAAAAATATTACAAATGTTGGTGTTTCACTTTTGCATCTGTCATAATCTTATGCTGAAATACCATTCAAATGTCAATAACATTTTGCAAAAAAACATGAAAGAGATATACTGTAAATAATCACACTGAGAGGAAATAACACAGTTGAAACTGGAAATTCCTTTTTTACTTCTAGGCAGAATTCTCAATTTATTTAGATGTTAAAGAGATCTATTGCCTTTTAAAGTACACTGCTAATAGCTGGGTTAGTGTAACTGCCCTTTTCCCACACACATATGTTTTTTCAGAGTAACACCTACTGACACACTTTTCAAACCCTTAAATCCCCTCAGATTCTCAAAGTGCTCTTCTGTCTTCATTTCTGGATGACGGTCACAAAGCATGAAGCCTACTGGAATAAATATAGTTTGTGAATGAGAGTCCACAGGTTTCACCACTGTTTGAGCATGTGTGTAGATCCCAAAGTTGTGTTTACCTAAAAAAACCCCACTGAGTTAAGGCTTCTCTAAAAATTGAATATTATTTGCCAAGGCTAATTGTCTTTTAAACCTAATATATCTGGACAGGATTCCGAAGAAGTGTTAACAGAGTGAATGACTGAGTAAGAACAGGCAAGGGCACATATTTAAAGTGAGGCACCCACGTGAACCAAAAGGGCATACCAATACACAGGCATTCTGTGGTGACATTATTGGCACCACCCTAGTAAAGCTTTTACTTTTACCTTTGCTACGTTAATCCACACTGCTTATTTTTTCACAACTGGTATTTTTTGTTAGATGTAAAACATCTACTATGAAATAGTAGTTTCTAAAAGAGAGGACTGGGAAAGGGGGAGATTGCTGAGTTTTGGAAAGGGGTTGTTTGTGTATTTGTTTTCTTACATTTGGCAAAACTCCAACAGCTATTCTCCAGAAATTTCACAAGAAACATTCATATGGGCAGGAAATCTACTGGCAAGAAATGGCAGATGAAAGAGTTATGTACTGTTGAATGAGAGTTTTGCACCTGCACATTGCCTTAGTTTGAGAATATGCTATTAATATAATAACAATAGCATAATCAGTAGGATGCGTAGTCATCTACCAAGAAGATTTAGTTTCGAGACCTCATGGATAGTTTTGGCATTAGTGCAAAACAAGGAGTTTGAATCAATTTCAAACGTGCACTAAATGGAAAGGGGGGAAGTGGGGGAGGGAAACCATTCCTATCAGGATATCACATTTAAAATTAAGACAAGAACTGTGTAACTGGGCCCAGACCAGTCTATTGGAGGACCAAGGACACCACCAGTGGGATTACGGTAAGGAGAGGTCAGAGGAATCCTGCTTCAGACTCATTCACTGGATTCTGGTTTATTTCTACTTAATGGAGAAACTTTTTTTTCCCCTTGGGGTCATTAAACTTAAGACTGGAATAGAGCTGTTCAAAAAACTCCTGTGGAACACTTTTTGGGGTCAGGATTTGGTAATTCATTGAAATCAAAATATTTCCAATGCATACCAAAAGATATCAAAAAAAGTTTCAAAATAAGTGTTGTCCCAGTTTTGAAACCTGGAAGCCCTGAGGTCTTTAGTTCAAAGGTAGACTACTTGGTGGGCCATCCGGCAATGACAGGCCATCAATCCTGTACCCTGCCAGTCGGAAGGTTGAGCAATGGTCTGCCAGCCAGAGCCCTGCAGGCTTGCAGAAGAACTTAGCCAAAATCCAGCTGTCCCTGAAAAAAGTTTAGATTTCAGTCAAGTGCCAAGGTCTCTCTGAAATTTGCCAAACAGCTTTGCTTTTGAGACTGGTTTCATCAGCTTTTCTGTGTAGACATGTGTTTTTTTCCAAATAAATCATTTCACCCCAAAGAAACCATTTTATCTACCTCAGTAATCACCTAGATCATGCAAAATGGTATAGCATCCCTGTATTTGTCCCTGTACCCATGGTGCTGCTTCTGATTTCAGGCACAGAAAGGTTATTACAGACCTTGGAGATGTGCAATTCGGTCTTTTCAAGCTGACCAACACCTCTGCCATGCAAACAGTCCACCCCTTACTGAATTTCACCCCAGGTGGTTTCTAAGCAGCCACAAGGAGGTAATGCCCACTACTTCCTTGGTGAGAAGGCTGAGACCTGGCCAACATTGTTTATGAGGAGTTTTGGCCCCTTCCTACTGGGATCTGAAGGACTATGAAAGTAAGAGAAACACAAATTTTTTTTAGTGAAGAAATTACTATAATCAACTAAAACAGTATCCATTAAAAACAGTAATACAGAAATATGAAACCTATATTGCTATCTCTTACATAAGTATTATGGTATATCAACATAGAACATACAACAGCAATCATAAGAGCCCTGTGAGGGGGTGGGGAATGCACTGCTGAAACTCTGAAGTACAATGGTACAAGAACTGCTGCCCAGCCACACTTGCTGCCCAGCCCAAGTTTTCCTACATGATAGATAAGTTTGCCTTCATTGACACTCATGGGAGCAACTTACTCATCTGGAATTTAGTCCACCAGAAAGCTAAAATACTTAGCATGGCCTGTGAACTGAGAGGCGACAGTGAAACAACATCCCTAGAAAACCATGTGTTGATCAAGACTTTCTACTCCTGCAGACAAAAATGGTTTAGGGGCTGACCCGCAGCGGTTTATTCATATATTTACTGAGCAAGGTTGTTCAATAGTCTCCATATCGGCTAAACCACTGCTTTCATCTAAATAAGACTTTTACTATAGTCTTTAAAGACAGCTAAATCAACACAGTATGCATCAGTATGTTATCAGCAGCAATGTCTTCTGAGGTTTGTTTTCTCTCCTTTATTCACTGTAAAATTCATGGAGTTGTAAGGAATACTGAGTAGGAAAAGCCATTTTAAATTGCATCTTTATGATTTTAATCTCATTTGAACAACTAACCTATAAACTGTATCATTCTGCTATTAGAAAGAAGAAATAAAAATTATATAAAACTTGTAAAGAATCACAGAGTTCTTTTCCAGATTGCTGACAGTCAGTAAATGCCTCAAAAATCTCTCCTACTTCTTTACAGAGATTAAAATTCATCAGTCCAGCAAACTGGACTATAAAATCAGCATATCGGCCCCAGAACGAGCACACTTTTCCGTTGCAGTAACATAGCTAAGATGCATTTGTGAGACAGCAGGCTGGCACAGGGCCCTGAAAGGTATTCACCATTTTGTAAAACAAAGCAGCCATCCATAATGTTTTTTGTTTCCAGATAATAAAAGGAAAGTCTCATTTTGTGACTATAAAAAAAATGTTAAAGTAGTACAGCTGTAAGCAGAAATCCAGTCCACTTGTGGTTTAAAGAGCTCCACGCCTACTGTACATAAAATAATATGCTGATATCATTAGCATAGACAACAGCTTGTTTTCAATTTGACTGCAGATAATGAAATTATCCCTTAAATTACCATAAAGTGGAACAAATAAACACAAAAGCAAACTCTTTTTTTTTCCTTCCCCCCCCCCCCCCCCCCCCCTTCAGCAGCGCTGGCTTTCAGCTATTTAGAATAAAAGCAAAGCTTCTGTTTTTCCAGAGCTCCAGTTTGACCTCAAGCAGATAAAGAACATGAAATGACAAACACGCAGCAAAGAGTTACTGTGTCCTTCCCCCCTGGCCTCTGTTTACATTAGGAAATGTACCCGGGGAGGCGGGAAGGGGAGGCAGGAGGGCTGCCTTTCAGCGCCGCGCTCAGCTCCGTTGGCTCCGGCTGGAGCTGGCCCCTGTTTCTGAGTAAGCTTACTCCACTCCAGATGTGCCGCGGCTCCAGCGTGGCTGCCATGTACAGTAAATCGGCATCTGAGGGCTCGTCAATCTGTGGGGTAGAGCAATTGCGGTCTCGCCAGGCCGCCCCACTGGCACAAACAGAAATTTGCGCCGCTGAACTGGAAAAGGAGAAGGAGGAGGAGGGAGAGGAGGGAAAGGGGCGACGGGGGGGAGAGACGGGGGGGGGGGGGGGGGAAGGAGGCAAATAACGGGAGAGCAGTGTGTGAAAGTTAAGGGTCTGGAAGGTGTCTGCTCCCGGGAGGAGAAGGGGAAGAAATAAACACTAACAGCCAACGGAGGAAATGTTCTTAATGCATTTGTAAATTTACTTGTAAATGTTTTACACTTAGAGAGAAAGGGGAATGCTGCGTATCGTTTGGCAGTGCTGGCTGTCTATAGGTCCCTGTGGATATACTGGTTTAGTACGACTTGTAACCAGGGCAAAAGAAACATAAAATAGCTGGGAAAACACAGCCAATTAGTCATTACACATAGACTGTAAAAACAAGAGAGAGAGACAGAGACAGAGAAATAAATGCCCTCAGCAAATTGAGTCCCTCTTGTTTATGTCCTTGCAACATGAGCATGAAAAGCAGAGGCAAGGATGCCTTCTAATCAAAGTGCAACTTGCAAAGCAGTCAGTGCTCCCATTCAAAATCCTCCAGGATTTCCTGACACTCACAAGATTTACCTATTTGCTGTCATTGTAAAAAACAAATTGTTTCACTAATCAGGCAGTTTGCTTTGGACCCAACCCCAATTGTATGGACTCCAAGTTGGACGTTCATTTCTGATCTCCTGCCGCCTACGCAGCCGTTACTAACTGAGTTTTAATAGGATGAGAAAACGATCTTTTATAGTGGGTTCAAATGAGCTACCCAGCTTCAGGCTGACTATGGCTGTGTTTTCCTAATCATCATTTTTTAATAGCAATTCTGAGGATGAAAATGCCTTCTCCCCCTCCCTTCTCTTCCAACAGCGCCAAGTCTAGGAATGTAAATAAGTGTTAAATTGAAACACAGAACAAAAAAGGGTCAGATTTAGTGTAATTGAGTCATAGTTAAATTTAGGCTGCTTTTATTTGCAAATGTGGACTTTAATAGCAGTTCTATACAGCATCTCTGGGTAGAATGAGATGCCTTATTTATTTATTATTTTTAGAGTGATTGTGCCTGGCATTCTCAGCAAAGGCTCCCAGTCCCATTTGGCCAAGCATTCCCAAAAATGAGCTTTGCATTTTAAAGACTCTCCTTTGCTAGAGAGGCTATCCTCAGAGTACCATCTGGGTTAAATGGCAGTACCTTAAAAGGACAGAACTACCATCAGCTCTTCCAAATTTTCAAAAATTGTGAATAAAAGCTGAAAAATCACAAGATGTAAGATTTTCCAAGGGGTATATGCAGCATCCTTTCTTGTCTCCTAATTTGTGAGTTCTCAAACCCTCACGGCACACTGTAAGATTTTGAAAGTTTCTTTTTTAAAAGGAATGCTCAGACTCTTGCAGTATCCCTTGATTTAAAGAATGGAGGATTAAAAATATCAAATATCATTAGATTTGAAATGACTGTAAGACTTGACAATACAACATACAGTTCTCTATGGCACTTGATTTTCTTCAGCACTCCCTTGACAGGATGGGGTAATAAGCCCTCTTTCCTCTAGGTAAAATCAATCCTATAAGGTGCTCTGATTCTGACCACGAAGAACATACGTAATCATACACGATTAAATAATTAAAGTAAGTATGATTATTCTTATGCGTAAAGTTCATACTGAGTTTTCAAACACTGGAGGCACTGAGATCATTATCTTAGATGCAGGGCAACAGAGAAGCTCAACAAGCCCCCAGCAAGCAGGCAGGAATGCGTCTGCCACTGAGGACAAGTCCTTGCACAAAGTATATGTGTCATATTACCAGCTCTTCTGTCAGGACCCAAAGGAGGCATGCTGCCTCCCAATTCCTCTCATCCCAGCGTCCAGCCCATACCCCAGCTAGTCCCCAAAGACAGTTCTCATCATTGCTTTATGCCTTGTACAGTCATTTACAGCTGGACAAAATGGACATAAAGCAAGTGTATCGAATCAGGATGGCAAGATTAGGATCCAAATGACCTCAAAAACTGGCTCTTTATAGGCTACTAGTAAATGTACAACAGGGACTTCCCTTACACTGACAGAAACACGAACTGGGTGATCGAACAGGTGTTCTCAACGGCCAGCCTTTCCACACAGAAAGGCAACACAGGCTGGTCTCATTAGACAGTAGCCAAATTTAGCGAGGAATGTGACTTTTCCCATCCCATGTTGAATGCGTGGCCCAGGAGAAATGTGATACTTAGAGGACACCAAGAGCAGTACAGTTCTTAGCTCATCCACCACAATAATGGCACTAATTTGAGAATAAGTGAGCGTAAAGCTGATAATAGTTGTCTGTAAAGAATCGTGTATGATAGTAAGATGATATCAGACAATGCTAAGTGACCATGGAGGAATGTATCTAGAAGCCAGGACAAAAAATGAATGAAGCACGAAGAGGGTGTTGAAATTGAATGGGTGAGAGAGATAGGAACAGCAGAACAAATAGTGCATTCCCTCCTAAGAGAATTCCCTCTCAGTATTATGCTCCTAACTCACGGGAACAGTGCTCTTCCACTTTAGTTTGAGCCATGTTTTTACAATGTAAAATCAAGCCCTTTCTTACATGCGTATCATAAGTGCAGACTTAACCTCAGGTTTAGTGGTCAGAAAGGCAAATTTCCCTGACAAAAGTTTAAAAAAGACAAAATTAACAGATAATCTTACTAAAATATGATAATATCTTCTTTCTTTAAAGTCTCAATTAATGCAAAATGCCTTCTTGCAAGACAGCAGGGACTAAGGAGTCAAGAAAAATTGCTTGCAAAATAAATCACGGTTCATATTTCCAACAATAACTGCCTTTTATTCATGCATTAGAATCTTGGATCTACTATTTTCTTTGGATTTTCTTCTATACACATTCCAGTGCACCTGACAATTGAAGAAAAGACAGTACTGTCCAGCCATTGTGTGGGCAGATGTTGTGTAAATTTCCACAAGAGATTCTGCCAAGCCTTCCTCTTACACAGACCTCTGACACCTGCATTATTTGGAAGGATGACTTTCTGTATCAGTGAATTTCCCTGAGTGACTGAGGCAAGATGAGCAACCGAGAACCTGGCTGCAGAGCCATCTTGCAGAGTAGATAGGAATTATCCTTTCCTGCTTAAGCAAAATGCAGCAGCCTCGGGTTCTGAGGAAGACAGAAGTGGTTCACCTCATGCATCTCCTAAAAAAGTGGAGATTGACAAAAGTCTGTTAAGTATCTTGTCTACAGTCATTTAAAAATACAATAAAATCTAAACAAACTGCAAGAATAGGTTATGTTGTAATTGAAATTGTGTATAAAACAAACAACAAACTTGGCATTTCTGTTGATAAAAGACGTATGAGTAAGCCCACTGGGCTTATATATGCCAAATGTTAAACCTCCCAGTAGCATGCTCTTTATGATGCCTTTGACACCTGCAGAGAAATTACATCAAATCTGTAGCAACAGTATTAGGTAATGCACCAGAGTTCAATGTTCAAAACATCCTGTTCTTTACATAGCCTCCTGTCTTACACAAAAGCAGTTAAAAATAATAGAGTTTGTTCTAGAGCCAGATTTACAAGGCTGTGTTCATAGACTGTAAGGATCATCTTGCAAGGCTGTTTTGCTATACCTATGGGCTGGGAAAGGGGAGGCAGGAGAAGGCACAAGTGAGAAGAAAGATTTGTGAATGGATCGCTTCAAGCTCTTAGGGAAAAAAAAATCACTCTGCATTATGACAATTTACTTTTCTGAAAAGTGATATTAATAATAAGTGAAATTTGTAAGAAGTGAGTAACAGACTAAGTATCCTGTAGCTGGACTGAAGATTGATTAAAGTCATGGGATATTTATATTTGTAATTTGAAATCTGGAGGCTTGGATCAGCTAATTAGTAAGACACATACCATTTGCAAAACTTGAATGTTGATCCTGATGAAAATTTTGAACTCATCAATCGTTTGGAATGTTAAGAGGAGAAGAAGCTTGGCTCTCCTCTCAAATTTCACACTAGAAGGCTCTAGCTGGCTTCAGTGATGAAAGAAAAATTGAACGAGAGGGAATAAAAAAGGAAAGGATGGCTCTATGTAGGCTTCTACAGCCTTGCTATGTAACATGTACATTGTAATAACCTCAGTGCTGCTGTTACAAAACTATGCAAGTAATTGGCCACTCCTTACTGGGATCTTGGGTTCCTGTTGTTGAGGGAAATCTTAGCAGAACAATGCAATTCACCGGTGCCTTTACATTCTTGTCACAATCATGAGTCCTATGACCAATCTCTTTGCAATCAAGACACAAATCTTTAATTGCTTTATTCTTGTTTTCACAAGCTGTTGATAGCTGCGCTGTTCTTCAGTTTGTTTATGAAACACTCATTTGTACTGGAAAGCAGCATACTGGATAGTATACTGAACTGGGAATAAAGGGACCTCAATCAGCACATTGGTGAAGTCTGCTACCAGCTCCTGGCCTTTGAAGCACTGCTTAGGCACAGATTGTATTTACAGTTACCAAATCTAAAAACTGTAAAGAGCTTCATTCTTACTTAAGAAGGTGCTTTGAGATCACAGATGAAATGCACCAGGAAAAAATAACAGTAACTTGTACAAAAAATAGCCAGTGTTGCAGAATGAAGCACCAGATAACAAACAAGATGAATTTCATATGTCCATTGAGGGGTCTTCAGTTTATACCAGATCATATTTGAGCCCAGCTATTTTGTCCAAACACCTACCTACAGTCTATTTGTAACATATCCCTCATTAAGCTCTTCCTCTTACTTCCTGTGAATAGCAATATTGTGAAACTGCACAGAGGAAGTGGAAGTTTAAAAGCTTTACAGAGGCCAGATGGAAAATGTGATAGGAAACTGAAAAACAAACATTTTGTGTTTTCATATATATTAATTACACTTAACAAAAGTTAACTTCTACTCATATCTTTCCCTCAATTTTTTTACCCAGAACTTTTCATTCTTGTACTAACAGTTATACACTCCAATGGCTTCTACCAATGACAATAATAACAGTCAGGTA